TGCCAGTATTCTCCAAGTAACTGACAAACACAACTTTTTTTACACTACAAAAAGAGTAATAAAAAATTACTACACATTTTTTGTTGATACCAAAAGGAACAGTCATAAAGTATGGATTAACAGAATTTTTGACACTCCTTTATGGCCCAGAAAGAAATCTCTTGCTATCTTTTGTCTTGTTACTTGCCATGATAGCCTTTGAACGAACATTATCCCAACTACAATTCGTAAATTGTGCAACCCTGGTGAGGAAATGGATGACTCACATCTGAGGCATTGCCCTGCCCAATATTAGATCACTCTGGGAGAGATACTGGGAGTCGAGACACAAAATATATTTATAGATTACACTGTGGACTCTTTTTTAGTTTTGTTGTTCTCTTTCAACAGTTCTCTTTGTAAAATAAAAATTCTTTTAAGAAAGAGATACTTTACCTTCCATGCAAATATATAAAAATGGCCTTTTTGAATATGTGAAAATAGCCACAAAAAGAGCATTCATTAAAACAAAAGCATTTGGAGGTACAACATGAAAAGTTCCAACTGAAACAAAACCACACATTCTGACAATCGATTTAAGAGAACTACCATACCATTTGAAACAACTCTGTGATTTATTTATTGTTGGTCAGATTAAGTGAGAAGTAAAAGCTTGGTTTCTTACAGAAAGAGGTTTGCTTTCTTACAGAAAGAACTAACTTTACTAACACTTTACTAATACTTTTTTGTGTTCCTAAATAAATGAAAGAAAAATAAAACCTGTCTTATCTCAAATAACACATAATGACTAAAATAACACTATAAAAATGGATATTATGAACATAAATTACGTGTATATAATATAGCTTCACTTTAAAAAGGAGAAATATTTAGAGAGTCAGATGAAACATTTGTAGTTAATGACATTGCATTAAACAGTATAATCACAGTACAGCAGACTATAATGGAAAATATAAAGGAACATATTCACAATTTTAGTATGTTGTCATAGTTTATAACAATCAGTCTGCAATTTTTACATCTGGCTTGTCCTGAATTCAAAAGAACAGGCTTGCATCTGCTAAGGCAAATGTGAATGGGTTATAACTGGACAATACGTTCCACTACTTTCACAGATACACTATTTTATTTTCTCACTGATATTTAAAAGATTCTGCAGAACTATCTCAAATCTGTATTGTTCTTTCATTATCAAAGTATATTTTTCTTCCATCACTGTATAACATGAATGGTGAACTTTTTGCTTTTTTCATAAAAAGTCCTTTTTGGATTAAGTTCATTAATCTAAATAAATACTAATACAGCTTTTATATAAGAAAAAATACACAAAATGAACTTAAAAAAAGTAGGGGATACTAGTACTATTACTCAGGAAAAAAGTAGTAACAATTGGGAAGTCTGATTTTGCAAGTCTCCGCATAGAAGAAATTCTTTTATACAAATACTATTAAGCTTACAATGTCATATTTATTAAGGTGGATATTTATTTATTAATTTGGGGAAGTGGGAATTTCAATTTTCTAGTCTCACTAAAAACTAAAATGTTCATATTAAATTTCTTTCTAAAAATGTTTGGAAAGAAACTGCCATTTTCTTACTCAGATAAATACATGGGATAATCATTTCATTATAACTACCTATTTTAGAAAAATGAGCACACCTATAGAAATAACATTTGCATTAAGTTCACACAGTGGTGTACTTGTGAAAACATAATTTCCGTTCTATTATTAATGTGCTTGGTATTGAAATGAGAAAAAATACCACAGTAATACATTATCAGAGTTTGGCAAAAGACAAAGAGTGATAGAATCATGCCTCAGAACTACTACCTCTGAAATAGCATAAACTGTGGGCAGCCACAACAGGTGAACATGTCAAATGTCTCATAACCCACGCTCTATCAAATATTTCAGTATATAAGGCTTGTAGACAAGTTTTGAAGCTAACTGCACTCCATCACCAAGAGTGTATAAAATAGATGCACGATCATCAATGTTAGATTGTGAATAATAAGAAAAACGTAACCCAATTAAATGTGCTTAAACTCCTCGTTAATCGTTCAGAAGGCCAATAATCTGAATACACTGTTCGGTAGATAAAAGTTAATACAGGAGGTGTAATATTGTGAATGATACCTTCCAGGGAAAATATATGGGTTGTTAGGCAAAGAGTTTACCCAGTTATATCAGCTATGGAGATATCACCTGTATTTGTATCAGATGGTAACAGCCATTACCAACAGACTATTTCATCCTGCCATGCAGGAAGGATTATCAAGCACTGGTTAAAGGAGATCTAGATGGGAAATTTCATCAAATGATATGTCTTCCAAATTCCCTGGTAATGAACATAATAGAACATTTGTGGTTAAAATTAAGCTGGTTTCCATTATATCAATACCACCCTGAGTTGTGAGGTCAGTCTTCTGTTAAGATCATGGTTATCAGATACCCATACTGCCTTGCAAAAAAGTCATTATTCTGCTGTAGGTTTTTATGCTTATTATTATTATTATTATTTATTATTATTATTCTTGTAGGTTTTTATTGCTTTTATTATTATTATTATTATTATTATTATTTTTTAATGTTACTTCTTTTTAACTCCCAACAGGATGAAAATTAGTTAATATATATAAGAACAGAGTTCTTAATGTTAATTAATGCATATAACAGAGCTCTTAATGTTAATGAAATGTTCTTAATGTTTTGGTAGTCGAATGCTGACTTCCTCCAAATAATTTACATCCAGCTTGCATTTAGAAGCTTTAGTATTTTGCTAGTCCTGTTTACTCGTGTGATTAGAGAGCTTGAGCTCAGGATTACAGTAACACTTTACTATGTGAACTGCATGCTTAAATTATTTAAGTTTTACATTAGTACTTTAATTACTTAACTTTCATGCTCTGTTAAAATTTCACAAAACTTGAACTGTTAACTACTCGAATGTTTTAGTTTGTTAAATTGAAAGTCTTAGAAAAATGTTTATATCTTTCTTAGAATAACGTCTTTGTTTGAGTTCAGAAATATTTTCACATACTTGCCAACCTATGACACTCAAAAATCAGGAGATTTTTCACAATGTTTAAAAGACTTTTTAAATGATAAAAATATAGTTTTTAATAATGAATCAACTTTAAATAACTGCTAATTATTAAATGCAAGCAACACAAAAATACCTTACATATAAAAAACATTTTTATTACTTGCAAAAAAAAAAAAAAAAGAGAGAGAGAGAGAGAGAGAGAGACTAATCAGTTTTCGTACAAATGTTATGAACAGTGGCAGATTTTGCTTTCATTAAGAAAGAAATGTCATAATTTTGTTCATAGCAATTGCCACATAGGCCTGCTTTCACTAATAAAAGTTTTTCTAATGTGTCATCACTAACATTAGATCTAAATTTACTCCTTGTTTTCGCAACAACACTGAAAATCCTCTCACACTCTGCATCACTAAGGGGAACTGTCAAGATGGCCAACATAATTCTAGACAGTTCACTATATTTTAAAATTCCATCAGCCCCTTTCAATTTTCCAATTAAACTCCACTGGGTGTCAATCCTAGTGATTTTATAACTTCATCCAAGTTTTCTAATTGTAAACTGAAAAATTGCGACTGCAATATTTATCAGTGGCAACATCAATATCATCATCTTTCATGACTAGATGAAGTAACACAGGAAATCTGTCCAAAAAGTACCTTATATGAGAAAAAGATGCATTTGCTAGAGCAGAAACAACAGCAAATTTAGCATGCAAAATCACTTCATCGTTGATTGGAAATTTAGACATTCTGCATTAATAACTTTTTAGTCCTTTGTTTCTGAAGAAAAATGTAATTTTTCGGGTTTTTTTTTTTTTTTTTTTTTTTTTTTTTTTAACAACTCATGTTATCCTTGTATTTTTGGATACGCACATGTTTGAGAACATCCGCCCTTCCACCCTGCGAAATTGAAAAATCGCAACGACACACGGTACACATCACAAATTTATTACATTTCCTTGAGGAAATAATGGAAGGAAAGTCAACTGTGTACGATTTTTGAAACATACACGAGTATTTCACCTTTCTCACAGACATAACAAAAGATAATAAATTCTAAAACTATTTCCCAAGGGCACGTGTACTCACACTACTCAGGACAAGATGAACGAAATAACTAAAGAACATCCAAATAACAGCCTTGAGCTTGCTTTATGCTCATTGGCTAATATATGCCAAATGACACGCAATGGAGCTCGATGCCTATTGGAGAACTGGAGAACGACATTTCTAAAATTCAATTGCTTTCAGACGTCCAAAATCACTTTTTTTTTTTTTTTTTTTTTTTTTTTTTCTTCATATAATGAAGTATTAAGCCAAGGTCCATAAAAATCGCGAGAAATTTTAAGAATAAGATAAAGTCAGGAGAAATATAGTGTAAATCGAGTTGGCGGGAGAGCGGTCGAAAATCGGGAGAGTTGGCAACTCTGTTTTCAACAATAACTAAAATGCTGCGATAAGTCATTTGATAAAGAACTAGAATTAGCTTTAAATAAGTTCTGTATATCTTAAATAAAGGATATATTAAGATGATGATCAAAATGTAACAGTTCTTTGAGTATATTAGGGTTCATTCATGCAAAAATGCTAAAATATAAACTCTTATTTAAACATCCAAAATTTACATTTCATTACTGATACCTAAAATGTTTTATTACTTAAACATCAAAAAAATTAATTTTGAGCTTTCTAAAAAATCAATTTTTCTTACTCACAAATTCATTTTTTCAAAAGCAGCCGCACTAACATACAAAATACGAATATCTACTACTTTTAAATCAAAATGCATACACATATATAATTCCAATTGTTTGCACTTTTGAACATGTTTAAAATTAAAATAATACTTTGTAAGCGTTTATTAGAAAGCAAAGACTTCATTTAATTATATTTGACAAAAATAAATGAATAAAATAAACAATTGCAACATTCTTGGAAAGGAAATATACTCACTTTATAGGATGACCTTTCACACATCTAGTTCCCATACCAACAGGTGAAAGGAGAGATTCAACATACTTTGCAGCTAATGGACTGCGAGGATCCTCATTGCTACAAATTTTTTAAAACACTCTTTGTTAATCCATCATCACAGAAATAAATATCACAGAAAGAATTGTTATAAGATTATTACTAGAATACATTCAATTAGAATGTAAATATCAAATATATCCAGGGTGTAATAGAATTGATGATCAAAATTTTAGAGATGACAGAACGTGGCAAATGTAAAAATTTTCATAATACAATACATAGTGGAATGTGAAATGCGCACACCAACACAAAGTAAGTACAAACAACACAGAAAGTTACTTTAATCCAGGATATTTTCAAGAATTGCTTAAATGAATGACCAATAATTGCTACTCATGCAACAAAATGATTCCAGATCTCATTTATACAACAGTGAGGTACGACAAAAATGTTTAAACAAACAGAATGACAGATCTCATTTATGTTCAAATGAATGACCAGCAATTGCAATATATTGCAACTAGGTCCTAACTTTCTGAGTTGCCTTCTAAGAAGGAAAGAATGTAAGGTAATTTTTCCCTCCTTACTGCATTCCTTAATGGTGTAACTGGAACCACATTCAGGTAGCTATAGTGAGGTCTGGTGTTTAAATTGGAGAAAGGGCATCATAGGCTTATCACATTTCCTGTCTCTTAAAGTTCCATCAAACTCAACAAGTGGAGTCCGAACTAAAATGCAGAGGACGGAATTCATTCTCCACATTTTAAAATTTGGGCTTCACTTATTGTGGATAAAAACGCACACTAAAATGTGGAGGATGCATTAATGTCCAAATCCAGAGAGGGCATTGATGAATCTCATGTTTCTTGGCCTAAAAAAAAATTTTAACCACTAATGCCTAATGTGGAATACATGTAAATTCCAGTTAGTCTGAGTGTATAAAAAGAGAAAATAGGGTAGAGTTAAAAAAATTAAGGAAATTTTTGGTATATAGTTACAAAAAACAGTCATCTTATTTGACTAATTTGAGTACTAAAAGCTTGCATTTTAAAAATTATGCAGGATCTGCAGGGGCAAGATCCACTCCAAATATAAAATCCAACATATTTTGTAGACATAAATGAAAACAAAACATCTTATCCAATTACCCCATCAACCATGAAAGTTAGCAAAGTTGTCACCATATTATCGGACTTTGTGAATCTTAGACTTAGTACCATATAGCTAAATGAATTAATTTTTGCTTTTACAAAATTCTTTAGCTTTAGTCAGTTTTCTATCTCTAGCAACACAAAATTAAAACATTGTACCGACCACAACACCACACACACACCAAAAAAAAAAAAAAAAAAAAAAAAAAAAAAAAAAAAAAGTTATGTCTAAAACATAAATAATTATATTTATCTTGTAACATTGTAACAAATTTTAATCACAGCATCTTATAAGAATAAATATATATATATATAGCCCTAAAATTAAAAAGTTATATATTGTTCCCACACAATTTTTATTTGTAAAAATGCCTTCAAGAAAAAAAATATATAATATATATATTATAGAAATACAGACTATTTTTAAGTTATAAGGAATGTAAAAAGATAGCCAAGGAATAATTTCAGCAAAAATTATTTATATCTGTAAATCATAGGGAAAAATTCATATTTTTAAGAATACCTGAAAAAAACATGGTTGGGTGGTCCATAAATCCAAGGCTGAAGCTCTAGAGGTGGTTCTTCAACAAGAGGAGGGATGAACAAAGCAAGAACAAGTGCCAAGCAAATGAAGCCAGCAGGCATAACAATCTATCAAAATATTAACACAAGAAAATGATAATTCATGTAAGGCAAAAAAGATTATTCATTTATTAATATTTTTGATTAAAAATTTTCAAAATAAAATTAAACCTTTTTTTAAAAATTTTATAACACTAATAATTATAATTTTGTTTCAAGTAAAATTAATTTAATTATTATTTTAATTATAAAATATGATTGAGATTATTATAACTTTTATTACTGTACTAAACACATTGCTGAAAATATCTTTATTAACCAAGGTAATCAGGGCGACACAGTCCATGCTTAACCAAGTATCACAATATTCGAAAGCAATTAAAAAATTACAAAAGGAGAACTGGCTATAGTGCACAACAAAAATACTCTTCATATACTTCTCTACTTTTATGCAGTTTTATTTGGAGAATAAGTTCATTTGGATATGAAATAAAACAGCACTTAAAAACATGAATACACTTCAAAACAGAATATGTACATGGTTTTCTATTCTTTACTCATGTTTCAATATGAGATGAGGAGAAACAGAAGATTAATAGCTGCACACAAAATATATTTTTGGAATTTAGCAATTGGATTTTAATGGATAGTTTAACAACATCATACATTCCATGTTATTCACAGTTAAATTATTTACTGTTGTGGATAAAAATAATTCCTAAATACTGCAACATCATCTGCTATCATCCCATGCATTTTGTTCTTTTTGCATTTACTACAGAAATTTGGCCTTATTTGATGGTTTTTACATCATTCCACAATAAACAAATTTAACCTTTTGTTACTATCAAACCAGTTAATCTAGAATCCAGTCGATTCACTCACTAAATTTTTTAGCAATTTTCACTGCCCACCAAAAATTAAGAAAATTTTTTTACAAAAGGAAACACACAAAATATATATTGATTAAAATCATAAACATAAGTCGTTTTTAATAAAATTCAACACATACATAAATTCTATCACTTATCAATTTAAAGGAAATCTAATGCAAATGATGTCAAGAAAATACAACTAGTTATTATAACCAAAGCTAATTGACTTTATAAAAGATCACACATTTTGTGGAAAATCCTTAAAACCAAGAATAAACATAATTCCCTACCCCAAGACTTACATAAGTAACTCAATTTCATGTCTTCTTGAGAAGTTTCGAGTACAGGACACTTGGATACATTTCCCTTTTGGCCATTATGAAATGATCTACACTATGTTCAGATCAGAAGCAGCAAAATTAACACTCATTCACAGCACTAAAAAACAAAGCTCATTCTGCTACTTATTTTTAAACAAAAATGCCTGAGAGTCTAATGATCTAAGAATTTTGAGGTCTTGTCTTCCTTTCGAGGAGATAACAGCTTGATATTAAAAGCTTCAAGAACTTTGAAAAATTGCCAAACTGATATTTTGCCATAATTGTTCAAGCATGGATCTCTCAAAAACTGTTTGCGACAGATGATCTGAAAAATCATTCATGCTATTTAGATCATTCTATTCTATAGTTACCATAGTATCCCTTTTTTCAGTTAGTATAGACTGCAAATAAATGAATTCACATTCAGAAGTACTGGAACAACTAAGTTGTACTACAGGGGGGGGGGAGAAAGAGGCACAGAATTTCAAGCGAAGAATAATGGAAAATAGAATGTTTAATTATTAGGGCTTTAAGCCTTCTTGCAACTGTTCTCTCACTAAATGTGCTCTTTGATCATTAAAAAAGTTCAAAGGACATCAATACTGTAGAAAATTTCAGGCACTTCCAGAGCAAAATAGCTTCCTAATGGTTTCTCTTCCATTGCAGAATTAACAGTAGTAATAGTAGTAGTTGTATAATAACAATAATAATAATAATAAAGCTAATTTCCTTGTCAAGATAAGAGCTATGGTTGTGCAGAAGTCTAATAAGAGCATCAGTTTCCTCTCTCTATGACGTCTACTCTTGATAAATTTAACAAATACACTTTTCAAGTAGACTCATTGCAAACATGCAATGGGAAGAAGTAGCTTCAGTCTTTTTTCACTGGTAGGCTTCCATCTGCTTTGTTCTGCATGCAAAATGTTCTTTGTACAAAGCCATCTGTGAACACGGATTCCCCAAGAAATGCTGTTGTAGCGACATTCAGACTTTTGGTGGTTCATGAATACTTACAGGCTTACCTTAAAGTCTGGAATGGCCAGTTTGTCCGATTGCATTTCATGCTCTTCTAGACAACAAACAATGGTTAACATTTGCACAAGTGTTTTATATAAGGCTAATTACTTAGCTACATATAGTATATGAACAAATTTAATTTTGACTTCAATTTCAAGTTAAAGAACGAATGCTTCACAAATACAGTAGAATCCCATCTATCTAGCATTCAACTAATCAGAAAGCTCAAGCAATTGGAAAATTTTAGAATTTCTGACCTCCGGCCCCCTCTCAGAAAAGTAAGCAAATGAGAAAATTTGTGTGTATATTGAGAATACGGCAAAGCACACTAGGGCTATCTGCCGAGGGATGCCTTTGTGGAGGACTTTCTAAGGGGAACTGGCTCGTATACACGTTACACATGGGGAAACCCATGAAAATGCCCATACAGCCAGCCCATTCGCGGGATTCGAACCTCGGATAGAACTACCAGTGTTCAGCGATTTTACTGCTCAGCCGCTGGTGGGGCCCGAGAAACTTTGTGAAGCACATATAAAACACTATCACCAAACACATAGTATCAAGAAATAATCTTGACTTCATAACACAGTCATAAGATTTTCACTTTGGCTTTATTAGAAGTGCTATAAAATGAAACCTGTGCATCCTCTTATTTTTAACCCTCCGAGCATTACCGGTTTGGCTCTGAAATTTGACTCTGAAAAATGATAGAAACACATGCTATTTTCTTCATAATTCCACAATGAGCTTCTCACATTGTAGCTTGACTCCTTTTTTCCCAATATACACTCTGGCCATTAAAATTGCAACAGCATGAAGGAAAGCAAAAAATAAATAAATAAATAAAATAAAATAATAATAAATAATATAAATAAATAAATAAATAAATATTGCACATAAACAGTATAACATGAAGACAAAATGATTAAATTTGTAAGCATTTTGGAGGTTTACAGGGGTGTGAAATTAGTAGAAACAGTTGTCAACACTGCCAGCTAAAACGGTCCTTATCCCATTAGGCATGAAGTCAAATTGGGCTTAGATGACAGAAATGGGCAATTCATTGCCTACTGCTTCAAGTCTATGACTCACTTCATCAACGGTATTAGCTGAGAGGAGTGGCAAGCCAGTCTCTCAGCAACCCATGACCTGATGTTTTCAATGGGTGACAGATCTGGAGACCATGTAGGCCAGGGCAGCAGTCGAATACCCTGTGTATTAAGCAAGGTCAGAACACGATGTACAACATGTGGCCTTACATTACCTTGCTGGAATATAGGGTTTGGCAGATAGATCACAACCACTGGACGTAACATGTCAGAAATGTATCGATCTGCATTCAAATTAATGTCAATCCGAACTAGAGATGTGTGTGTCATGCACACAATGACTACCCAAACCATTACACCAGGTGCAGGGCCCCTCTGCCAATATCGAATGCAAGCAGGTGACCTGACGTCTTCTCGGAGCCTCCAGACATGTATACGACCATCAGAATACTGCATGGAGAACCGGGACTTGTCTGAAAAGACGTTGTTGTGCCACTTCTGTATCCAGCTTCGTCATTCAGCACACCAAAGTCGCCATCTTTCTCTATGCTGCATTGTCAAGGGAAGCCAAAGTAATGGTCATTGTGTTGATAGCCCCCACATCTGCAAACATTAATACCCCATACGAGCAGATATTAGACTTGCTGCAAACATGCCCATTTCCCGACTAATGGTTTGTGATGTTGTTGTATGGTTTTGCACAATACGTTTCTCCCCTGAGGCGTTAATCATATGAGTGCGTTAATATCCTTGCATGCCGTTCAATATGACCCTCAGCAATCCATTGATTCCGCATTTGCACGACAGTGGTTAGATGCTAAACAGTGCGAGGGATAATCCACATTCTCGATAGGCAACGATCCTGCCTATATCACATTCTGACACTTGCTGGTAAGCATTCTTATTATTTGAGACATAACATGATATTCTGAGCACTTTACAAAAGGGGAATTTGTTTGTTGCTTTAAAGTGCTTTTCAAATGTGAAATCCACAATATTCTTTTATGCAGTGCTTCAAATGTCGTTACTTCTTCCTGCGTCGTCTAAATGGGCTGAAATGCTAATCATTTGCATATTCTCCAGACATGTCTACGACCCATCAGAATACTGCATAGAGAACTGGGACTCGTCTGAAAAGACGATATTGTGCCACTCCTGTATCCAGCTTTGTCATTCGGCACACCAGAGTCGCCATCTCTCTATGCTGCATTGTCAAGGGAAGCCGAAATAATGGCCATCCTGCTGATAGTCTATGCTGCTGCAAACATTGATGCACCTTAAGAGCTGATACTGGGCATGCTGCAAACATGCCCATTTCCTGACTAATGGTCCATGATGTGGTCATATGGCATGTCATTTCAGAAAAAGTCCGATTTTGTGTCAAAATGTCTGTATTAGAACAATGCTATATATAAATCTAATATATGTCCTAAGTTCCGTTTTCGAGACATGAAAAACGCATCAATCGGCCCAGTAGATCGGAAGATGTAGAACTGTCCCATTTTTTTTATGCAGTGTACTCTTTTAATACAATACAGAGAAAGTAAATATTCTGAGAACTAACTATTATATAATGCTAATTACGCATAAAAAAATCTGATGTGGACACCATAACTTCCTTCTACAGCCTTTTAAATTACACACATTTTTTGCTGTATTTCATTTAAACTTATTTCCTCGAATTTCATTAGAGATATATTTCTCATTCAATTAAATCAGTTCTCGCTTCGCAACAAGGCAAAAATACATAAAAACTCAAAATATCTTCATTAAAAATTGTAAAATACAGAACCACTAAAATACAAAAC